ACCCCTGCTCTAAAGTTTTACATTGTTTTGTTTTTTAGTTGAGTTATGTAACAAAAAAAATCTACATTTGTAAGTTTCACTTTCACAATAAAGAGATCGCATGACAGTACTTGTATGAGGTGAATTGAAAAATACTATTTCTTTTGTTTATCATTTTTACAGTGCAAATATATCTAATGAAAAATAATAAAATAAAGTGATCATTGTACACTTTGTATTCTGTGTTGTAATTGAAATCAATATATTTAAAAATGTAGAAAAACATCCAAAATATTTAATAAATTTCAATTGGTATTCTACTGTTTAACAGTGTGATTAAAACTGTGATTAATCATGATTAATTTTTTTAATCATGATTAATTTTTTTGAGTTAATCGTGTGAGTTATCTGTGATGAATTGACAGCCCTATTTATAACAAAGTATGGGAGCAGAGTTAAGATTAAGTGTTCTTAAAAATACATTTCAATACTTTCCATTTTTAAATTCACATTAATCTAAGATTTCTAGTTTTGAGGATGTTATATTCCAATATTATTTTAAGATGTTTCCCATTTAAATTTCTACTACTCTAAAGAAGGAATACTTTTTCTACTCAGGGTTAAGAAAGTATTCTGCCGGGAAAAAGATGAAATGCAGTTTTTGCAGACCTGAGATGGTATTTCAGGAAAACTTCAGAACAGAATTTTATTTTGCTATGGTACAACTGATGGCTGTACTGCTCAAGTTCATATCAGAAGTAAATCTTTTGAAATATTCTCACATCTCTAGATCTTTTGAAATATCGTCACCTCCAATACTCTCACACATCTCAGTCTGTACAATGAAAAATTGAGCATCTTAGAATTGGTCTTGGAAAAAAGTCATTTATGTTCTTCCAAAACTTGGGCTGACAAAGGAAAATTAGCATTTTCATCTGAACAGTACTGAAGGCCTGTTCTAGATTATTATTGTACTGGGCCCTTCTTTCTAAAAGTGCCTCTGACTGGTTGAGATCAGTTATCTATTTATCTAAATGTTTACACCATGCTCATCACAGGTTGAGTGAGTGCCTATGGTAGGACAGCTAGTGTGTGGCTGTTTACCTCTGTTACTAATGGCTTGTCTACAGGCAGATGTTACCTAGTTTTATACCGATCTAAGATTATCCACATGCCACCTTAATTAAATTGGGGAAACATCACTCACTGGTGTAACTTTGTGCGTAGACCAGGCCGAACAGATGTTGGTAAATTGGAATATGGGAAAACTTATTATTTTCAATTCTAGGAACATGAACATACAGTGGAATTTTGGATACTGTGCAGCAAAAACTGTAGGTAAATGTTGGACTTTCTATGGCAACCACTGTATGTCTGCTCAGCCTGATAGCCAGAACAAGTCTGGTATTCTTATCTCAACAAGCATAAAATTATTTGATTATCACCACAAATTGTTTGGGTTCTGACTGTACTATTACCCTTGGTCACCCATTAGCTAACTTGCTAACTTAATTTACACAGTAAATTTGATAGGAACGGCACTGTAACTGATTAATGGCAGAACTACCATTGGCTTCAGTTTTCAGAGTAGCAGCCGTGTTAGTCTGTATCCGCAAAAAGAACAGGAGTACTTGTGGCACCTTAGAGACTAACAAATTTATTAGAGCATAAGCTTTCGTGAGCAGGCTGATAGCATAGCCATCCCTGCAAAGCCTGAGTGTGCTACATGTATTTTTTCCACCAAGATTTATGCTACAACTATTGCTTAATCAGTCTTGAAATTTGAATAGTGATTACCATTCCACAGTGATAAAATCTCCATGTCACTCTTAGTTAAATCTGCCTGAAAAAAAGAAAAATTAGTGGTGTGTTCTTGAAAAGTTTTGGCAGGGTAATCACAGGGATGGGTTAATGGTTGGGATTCAGGATAGTCAGGTATATATTCCTCAATGATGATATCATCGCTCTCATTAGGACCCAGACTCCTTGTTCTTGGTATCATGTCTCTCATCTCTTGTATATCTGACTCTATGTCCCGACCCTCCTTACTCCATGCAGGTTCATTCCCTATGAAATCCTCTGCAAAACAGGAATAGAAAGAGAGAAATAAAACTAGGAATTCTTAGCGGATAGAATAGCTCAGCTGTTCATGGGTTATGTTGTGTGCTAGACAGAAAATATCCATAACAATTAAAAACATATCCCTTTATTATATAAGAGCTATATATTATATTGGGGGACTAGCAAGAAAATATGAGCTGTGGTATCTGCTGCATGCTGCTGGTACCCAGCTCACTGACTCTGCCTTGTCCGATCCCACTGCTATGATGGATGCACTGGTTTCTAAATGAGGATGGGGCTGGGACTGGGGCTATTTGGTGACTCAACCCAGACAAGACCGAGGTGGCATTGGTACTAGGACAAGAGAAGTAGGCTGACCCAATATATTTTTCAGGGAGGATACTGCAACCTCTAAAATGGGTTATTTTGAAAATAAGATATTAAAACATCCCAACTGGTTTTCAATTAAATTGCATAGTGTTTTATAAAGGGACTTCACTTAAATGAAGCTGGCAGCAGTCTCACCTATTGCTGGTTACAGCAAAAGGAACCCTTAGCCCAATCCTTTATTGAAGGTCATTAATCCCAGAGGTAAAAATAGGCTGTAACTTGGCTATTTCACTGAAATCTTGCAACTTCATTCTTGCATTGTTGTTCGCAGTGAGCAGAAGCAGTCAACTCACTTGATCATTGTGGAGGAATCAAAAGAATCACAGACCATCTGGCATCCTACTCTGCTCTTAAAGCAAAGCTATTGGAAAATACGAACTCCCTTCAGAAGCTAGATCCCTCCAGGAACTAATACCCACTCACACTTACGCATAAACACAACATCTGTCTCTAGATTTATTAGCATTTGATCCATGTGGGAATGTGGTTAATGACTATGGATTACCATACGATTCTGTGGTCTCCATAATATCACTGTCCTGTGGCTGTAGAAGCTCTGAGTCTGCATTATAAACTAAAAAGTTGATTTCCATTGGCTCAGCTGTGTTACTATCAGGGTACTGTAGTACAGAACCAGTGGGAACATTTGGTAGTGGAGTTGAGACAGGACAGGATTTACTAGACAGTACAAAATCTTCTCTACGTCTTGATGCTTTCTCCTGTATTCCTACATCTGCTCTTTTACTGTCTTGGTCTTTACTTCTGTCACTTTCTTTTCCTGATATGTCTGTAGGAAGGTGAATGAAAGAGAGAAGTAAACTTGCAACCACTCATCTGTAGAATAATTGTCTTATATGTATAAGATGCATTTCTGGTTCAAGTTACTGTACCACTAGAGTGCCTGCTAACAAACGTTGGTGAGTGTATAAGGGGAAAATAAAAAATTTAAATTGCAGTAAAGCAGTACATCAAGATTCAGCCTATACTGCAACCACTTACAGATAATTAAAATTCTATAGTGCAAAACTCCAATAAATAAAATCTTTGATGAATTGAATTATTGTTTCTTTACTTATAGATAGACTAAAATAACTAAATTTGTTTATGTAATATCACCAGTAGCACTGAAGCAATTTAAAGCTAATAGTTTACCAAATTGGAGAGAGAAAACAAATCTAGCTTCAGTATGAACAATATCTATTAATGTCCCTCCTGACCTCTGTCAATGGGAAGGGAACCGGGTTTACAGTTGGTCTCTATAAAACCTTGCATATTTATGTTTTATCTTTCTAGAATCACCATTGCGTGGGCTCACATTTTTTGCAGGCCTCCGAACAGTTGTATGTCAAAAATTTGTGAACTAGAATCATCACTGTCAGTATGACAAATGTCTTACTAGAACAGAGAGCTATAGATTTTTGCATTAGTGACATTTTTATGAACATATTTTTTCATGAAATTACATCACAGTGAATCACCTCCACTCAACTTCCCCATGACAGATAACATGAAGCTCGTGGCCAAGCAAAACATTTTTTTAGGAAACCTACAACTCCACTCTAGGGTCTTCATATTCCTCTTCTCCATACAGTTCTGTCTTTTGGGCTCACAAAAACTTGCCATTGTCTGCACAAACCCCATGGAAACTGGTGGTTAGGAGGTCTGTGAAACTTGAACTTTGAACAGACCTGACACTGGTCCACATTCAATTGTGTTCTGTGTTAATGAATGAGTACTGATTAACTACAACCTCATGTCTGCCAATGGTCAATGAATACTTTCTGCAAACTTTTTACTTGTTATGGATAAGAGCAAATTAGATAGATAGATAGATAGATAGATAGATAGATAACTATTGTCCATGTTATATTTTAATAATCTGGCTCACATTAATTAAAGAACATTGGACAAAACAATGGAATTTTCTAGGACAGTCCCTAGTAAAATTTCCAAGAAAAACTACAATGACATTTCTGCAAATGGGTGCACACACTTGAAACCCAAACTTTGTCTATGGTTTGGTGAAACGATTTGACATAGGTACAATAGCTGTGTTTGAACACAGTCTTCTTCAAAATTCAGGGCCTGTACACCCATGCAAACTGGTTCTGATAAGGAAAAAGAATCCCTGGAAACAACTATATCACTTCTATGTAGTTAGTTTGTCCACAAGTAATTTATCTGGTATACAAAAAAGGCTCATTTCCAAATTGTTTTAAAAACTGATTTTTTTTCAAATTGTGATTTATTATCGTAACATACTTAATAAATACACAGCCAAAATACTTTAAAAAATTAAATATTTTTTAACAAATTGCAACATCCTCCATTGCCACTGAGATTCTAATCCTATTATCCCAGAATCAAAGCAATTCTGATGGAAGTGTTGACTTGCACTGCTGTCAAACATGAAGAAAGGTGAGAAAAATACCTACAACAATTCTTTCCAACAGAAATCACTGAAATGACATTGCAAGCAATAACATAATATGCTCTCTATGTAGGCTGACCAATAAGTAATTCTATATGCTATATATTCATACAAACTTAAAATGAAAATCAAGGGATAAATCATAAGACATAAAGTAAATTCCAGAGGAATTTAACCTAACAAGCTTAATTTCCTGAAAGTATATCATAGTGCAAGTCATTCTGACTGACTTTCTGCCACTTTCAATGCTAACAATAAATGTCAGTATCTCATAGCTATTTATAGCTTCCCACTTCCAGGTTATGGAACAAGTTTAATCACAGTATATGACATCACAAATGCCATAAATTCCACTGCAACCTGCGTAAACCATGGTGCTTTCGATGTCACAGCATAGCATTATATATTTAGGGATACCTTCAGTAAACCGGGAAGTTCCAAGGATTTCATAGACAGACAAAATATTTGTTAAGGGTTAGTTAACACTTATTTGCGTATTGAATGCCCTCCGAGTTTGGTTATCATTATTATTTATTACTCTAGCACCCCAGGCAGAGACTCCCATTGCACTAGATGCTGTACAGACACAGAACAAAAAGCCAGTCCCAGTCCCAAGTAGTTTACGATCTGAGCATAGACAAAAGACAATAAATGGATACAAATACATCCCCGGGTGAGTACAAGGAAACAATAAGACACATTGGTACGTGTGATGGGCTGTGGTCTCAGCACCCCAGCAACCTAACTGTTGTCAAGTTTTCTGTAGGCATCATGTCAAAGGAGACTTTTGGAGGAGAATAATGACTTTGTTTTTTGGATGTTTACAGGGAGCTTGTCCCATGCATGAGGAGCAACTTGATTAACAGAGGCATTCAGCACAGAAAGCGGGGCTTAATTCTGCTTTTATTTTTGCTTTACTGTTGAGTTTTAAAGTGGCAGTTGATTAAAAAGCCCAAGCAACTCATAATAATTTAGAAAGTAGAAGAAATATTTAATAAGGAGCATATCTGGGAAATAGTTGTCCATTGCCAAATAATTATGCATATGGAATGGTATATTTTTCCAGTTTAATAACAATGATCTATAAATTATGGTTTACAACACTCAGAATGACAATGGACATGTCTATAACCTGTCAGCAAAGATCACACAGGGCAGGTTTCCTCTAGGATGGCAAAGAGATGTTAAAAAACACTCCTCATAATCAAGCTAACAGGATGGTCAAATGAGAATCATTAATAACAGATTAATCATTTTGCTGAGATTATTATTAGGGCTGCTTGAAAATTTTCCATGAAAACTGATTTTTATAGAAAATTGGGTTTTTAACCAACTAAATTTTTTCACAATAAAGGTCCGCTTTGTGAAGAAAATTTTGATTTTTTTTAAACAAAATAAATGTCCAAAAACTTAAAAGCTTTTGGTTTTCAGTTTTCATCTGAAAACCAAAATATTTCAGCTGAAAATTTTCCATTTGGATATGTGGCTATAGTGTCTCATGGGAGTTGAGTTTGATTGCCTCATGTTCCTACTTGCTTTTATGGGCTGGGCGTCTGTACCTCAAAGTAGCACCCTGGAACCCCCATATTCACCATGGCGATGTTACTATGCCATGTTTTGTACAAAGTATCATAGTCTTGATCTGTTGAACAATAATATCCTGTTGGACTGTATGTACTATCATTGTATGTGAAGTTATGAAGAATTACTATGTGTTACTGAAACATGTTGCGAGGTTGGGAACACCCACAACCAGTCTTTCAGTTACAACAAAACTGTAGCAATCAATAGCCAGGCAGCGCTAATGGCTCATCAACACACAATCCACTATCCTAAAGTCTTCTAGGAGAAAGCATGTGGGCAATGGAGACTGCCTGACCAATGGGGGCTGCCTAACCCCCCACATAGAATTATAGGACTGGAAGGGACCTCGAGAGGTCATCTAGTCCAATGGTTCTCAAAGCCGGTCCGCTGCTTGTTCAGGGAAAGCCCCTGGCGGGCCGGGCCGGTTTGTTTATCTGCCGCATCCGCAGGTTCAGCCAATCACAGCTCCCACTGGCCGCAGTTCTCCGATCCAGGCCAATGGGGGCTGCGGGAAGTGGCGTGGGCCAAGGGATGTGCTGGCCGCCGCTTCCCGCCACCCCCGTTGGCCTGGAGCGGCGAACCGTGGCCAGTGGGAGCTGTGATTGGCCGAACCTGTGGACGCTGCAGGTAAACAAACCGGCCCGGCCCGCCAGGGGCTTTCCCTGAACAAGCAGTGGACCAGCTTTGAGAACCACTGATCTAGTCCAGTCCCCTGGATCACATCAAAGCTCTTTCCAGCAAGCTGGAAGAAAATATAAGAGAGAGACAGTGGCATCATCACTTGGCCTCTCTCCAGCCCAGCCCCTGACTCAACACCTGGAGGAATATCTGGAGGACAAAGACTTTGAACTGGAAGGTAGTCCCGGTCTGTGTATTGAGGGTCTGTAACCTGCTTGTACCATCTGTCAGGGTAAGACACTGCTTGATTCAAATTGTGTTTAGTTTGTAGAACTTAGGCTGCACATTTATTTTTATTTCTTACGTAACCAACTTTGATCTCTATGCTTGCTACTTATAATAACTTAAAATCCATCTTTCTGTAGTTAATAAACCTATTTTACCTAAAACAGTGTGTTTTGGCTGAAGTGCTTGGGAAATCTCAGCTTAGTTTACAAAGGCTAGTGTTTGTGCACTCCACATTGAGGGAATGGAGAACTGGATAATGAACTTACACTGGCCAGGCTTCTGACCAGTGCAAGACAGTACAGTTCTGAAGTAAAAGACTGGGGAGCTGGGGGGAATTGGCTGGAGTCTCTCTATTGTTGGTTCATGAGTGGCTGGGAGAGCATTCATGTAACTCAGTTGGGTGTGTCCCTGCCCATGGATGGCTCTGTAAGTGCAGTATCTGCCAGAGGTATATAACTTGACATCAGCATCACAGTGTGAGGACCAGCCCAGGTTGGTGGGACGGAGGGCTCAGCTTTCTCACACTGCAGGTTGCACCCCAGGGACTCCTTCAGAGCTTCTCAACCAAACTTTATCTCCCACAATACAGGATGGCCATGGAACTCCCATGACACACCACTTTCCCGCACCAAGAGAGGACCAAGACCATGATGCATTGTGTATCCTATGGAGAATAATGGGAGCACGGAGCACCCAAGTTACAACTCCCATGAGGCAGCATGCCATTATTTCAAAATCAAAATATTTCAGTTTTCATTTTTTTTGCTGAAAAGCCAATTGTCTGTGAGGGGGGAAAAAAGCATTTTCTGACCAGTTCTAATTACTATACATCATCTTTTGTGAACAATTATCACGTCTTGATACTT